CTGGTGGCTTGTTTTTCCCCAAGACATAAAATGTAATCTGTCCACTCGAGAGTGCTCAGCTCTTCCCAAGGGACACCAGAGGGCAGATGGCTGGAGCTGTGAACCGTGCAGCTGACAATGCCTCGTTCAGCTTGTTGAACGAAAGGAGTGGGGCCCAGAGGACAAAATACGGTACCAGGGAAAGAGCTGGGACATGAACCTGGGGAGGAGGGCCAGTCACAGGATGCTCGTGATTACTGAGCATCGGTCACGGCAAAACTTCAGCTGCTTTCTTAATGCTTTGTCCTCCCGGAGAGAAATACCTGGAGTGAATAAAATTGTGATGGGATCTCTCGGGGTTGGCGTCCTCTGGGAAAGGGGGAGCCATCCAGGCATCCAAACCTCTCTGGTTCCTCCATTCTCATCAGCAGGCGTTCTCTACCTTCCTTCCCTTTGAAAAAAAAAGGCCTCCATTTTATGACTTTTTGACCCTTTTCTGGGGAAAACAAACTTTCTACCTGGAAACAAACCAAACCAAAAAGACCTCTAAAATGATACTCCCTGAGACAGGCACAAAAAAGCCAGCCATGCTCTGGGAGAAGAGATAAGGGCTGAGGGAACAGGCCGAGGGCTTTACATGGAAAGCATTTTATTTTTTCACATAACAAGGTGACCCAGTCGCTCTGTTGCTTGAACATTCCCTGGTTCCTCACTGCCCCCGGGGTAAAGTCCAGCTGCTTGGCTGGCCACACAGCACCCCCACCTGTATCTCCTGCCTTTCCCTCACCTGCACACGCTGCTCTTTCCTGCCTCCAGGTCATTGCTTATGTGGTAATGTCTGTTGGAATGTCCTTTCTGCCCCCACCTCCTGTTTACATTCCCTGAACGCTTGTGGGCCTTTTCATAGTGCACTTCCGGCCACCTCCTCCAGGAAGCCTTCCTGACTCTCAATTCAGGGTTAGATGCCACTCATCTGTACTTCTCCAGCAATCTATCTTTTTTTAATGATCATTTCCAAACACACGGGATAAACTTGACTATCCCTACCACCTAGTTTCAACTGCCAACACTTATCGTGTTCGGGTTATCCATAAATTTATGTACATCATCTTTTCCAGTTCATCTGCAATGTGACCATCTGTTCACATCTGTCTCTCCCTTTAGAAGGTGAAATTCATTCATTCACTCATGCATTCATTCATGGATTCATTGTCAGGCACTGTTCCCTGCCTAAAGACATAGCCCTGAATCCTAAGGACCCAGGTGGGGCTGGTGGGGCCCGACAGCAGTGTCTCTGCATTCTGTTCCAGTGGACAAGATGCACAACAAATAAGTAAACACATGAAATCATTTCACATCGTGATGAGGATCATCAGCCGGCCGCATCGCCTCGGCATCCCCAGCATCTAGCACCACACATCACACATAGAGAAGACTCAAAAACTGTTTGCTGCACTCCCAGAGCTCAATGCTCTGACCACAGGGTCCCACCAAGGCAGCCTGGGCTCTGTGGCCACTATGGCCGTAATCGTTTCCTTTCCTTCGTCTTGGAAGAAGGGAGACAGGAGGAGACAATCACCGATCTACAGAACCGAGACCACCCCCTTTCTGAAGCCAGCTCTCAGGGTGGCTTTTCAAGTGTGTGCATATCTGGCCGGCAGAACCACGGCCATGGGTAGAGTTATAAACGCTCCCTGTCTGGGTTCTGTCTTGATCCTTCTAAGGAGCCAAAAACGTATGTAACGTATAAAGGGCGAAAGCAACGCAAAACAAACAAACAAAATAAAAAGAGGCTGGTTCCAGCCCTCTGGGGCAGGTCTGGGGGGCTCTGCTGAGCTTGTGTGTCTGTGGGCTCCACAAAACAGCTGTGTGTTTCCTCGGAGGTCTTTACAGAACACCCGAGCAACTGGTTTGCAGGGGAGTTATGGAAGGCAGTCCTGAGCGGAAGAGGTGGGGGCGAGGAGGCCTCTAACCTGTCCCACCCCCATCCCCCACACTAAGATCTCTGGAGCACTCATTTAGGGGCCACCTGCCAGAGGCAGCGGTGACCCAGGGGCCAGCCCCAGGAAGCAAGCCAGCCCTGGGTGCAGAAGAGAAGGATCTTCCAGGTTTATCCATGGAGGGGGTGCTGGGATTACAAGAACACGGATAATAGCAACAGTGACAATAAACATTTACTGATCACTTACTTTGGGCCAAGCTCTGTTTCAAGCTTTTACATTAATAGTGCTTTTAATTTTCAGAACAACCTTCTGAAGTAGTTACTATTATCATCCTCTCTTACAAAAAAAAAAAAAAAAGAAAGAGAAATGGGAGCACAGAGAGGTTAAGTGACTTGGCCAACAACACACAGCCACGAAGCACCTGAGCCAGGATACAAACCCAGGCCGGCTCTAGAGCCAGTGCTCCTAACCGCTACACCACAGTAAAGCGTTGAAGTCCCTCAGACTCAAACGAGAAATGTTTCTTCTAGAGGGTCAAGATTGTTGAGCTATCCTTGGTAATTTCACAGTAACGGTGTCCACTGGAGCAGCAGGGTTAATGTGCGTTTTGGCTTGGGCTTGAATCTGGCTTTTGTGTCTGTGTTTTCTCAACTGGAAAATGGGTATGATAGAATTCCCTCGTTCCCAGGCTGCTCTGAGGATTAAATGAGACAATCCATATACAAAACTAGGCACAGTGCCCAGCACATAGTAGGCACTCAAAAAACGTTAAACCTACAGAGAAGTCACAAGCATAGCTCAACAACCACCCGTAATCCTAGAACCACCAATTGTTAATACTCTGTCACATTTGTTATCTATCTACCCATCCACCCATCCATCATCTCTCTTCTGAATTATTTGAGTTAGTTGCCGACATTGTGATACTACAGCCTTAAATCCTCCAGCCTGTATCTTCTAAGAACAAGGACATTCTCCTGTATGACCTCCGTACAAATTATCTGAGATACAATGTATTTCCCGCTTAGGAAATCTATCATTGATATTCTATTTTCTAATATGTAGTCTATGTTTGAATTCCCCTGCTTGTTCCCAAAACGTCTTGTGTGGCTACTTTTTGCTCCTCAGATCCAGACTCCCCCCAGGATCACTCACTGCATTCGTCTGCACGGCGCTTTCGTCTCTTTTAACCCTGGAACCATTTCTCAGCCACTTTGCCTTTTACGACACGGATATTGTAAGAGTCCAGGCCAGTTGCTCTGCATGTATTTCATCTTAATCTATATTTCTCTTTAGGTCCTTGTAAAACAAACTGCAGCTCATTGGAGGAAGGCGACAGAGGTCTGGAGGGTACGTGAAACAGGAGGTAAAAAAGTATTTGGGGCAGGGGAGGAGGGTGTATAGCATCAGCTCTACTTGGGTGTTAGTTACAGATTTCCTGGAAGCAGTGACAGATGATATTTAAATGAGATGAAAATTTTGGCAGGTGGACCCAGTGGGCAAGGCTGTTACAGACAGAGGTCATGGTGTAAAGGCTCAAAGAGTGGCATCCTGGAGGAACTGCAGGTCACAGCAATGAGTGAGAGTGAGGGACCGCACCAAGGGATCAGGGTCTGTTTCTACTTGGACGGGAACCTTCCCGAGGACAGTCTTTATCTCTGGGCCTGTCCTCTCCCTCGAGGTGCCCAGATTGTGTCCAGCTCACAGGCAGCATTCACCCAGAGTGACCAGCCACCAAGTCTTAAATACGCAGCTGACAGGCGACTCCCTCCCAGGGCTGGCGTGGTTGCCAGCTCTCACACACCAGCTGCAGGATCTTAAACGGCAAGTCATCAGGATTTCGGTTTCTTGCCCTGAAAATGAAAGTTCGCTTTCTAAACCCACCCCTTCTTGCTGCCTCTTGGGACATGGGCTGCTTCTGTGAAAAAATTCAAAACAAACTTCTAATTGACCGCAGAAGTAAAAGA